GTTCATTTGTTTGTCTTTCTTTTAGCAAAATTCAAGATGGCTGCCACAGTTATTTGATTCGACCAAATTCAAAAACCATCAATAACTCCGTTAATATCCACCACCATTCAAAGGTGAAGGTGGAGGATAATACTTTTGTCTGTGTCTTGTTAGGGCTGTTCCCTTCTACAGCGTGTAAACTTTGCATGAAAGATATGGCAAATGTTTTATGCCATTCTTGTTGTAACCTGGACTTGAACCTGCAGCCTCAGGATTATGAGATAGTGTCACTGTTCACCAAGCTACTGTAGAGGAACAGATGCTGGGATATATTCATCATTTAACGCGGGTTCCTCATTTTTCTGGACTGAATAAAACGTGCATTGAATTTAAGGAAAGGCAAACGTGAGACGTCATTTAAATTTGACCCATCAAAATGAATGCGGTCATTTATTTACAGAATCAAATTTAACATCAAACATTTACATTAATTTGGCAAATTATGAAAATAACAATATAAGCAATCAATCAGGAAAAATCATACGGCCATGATTTTTCCGTTGCTGCACCAAAGACATTTATGAAAACTGTACAACTATGATCTTTTGCCCACATGAATGTGGGTGAGCATTTTACACAGACATTTCTAAATATCTGGAAGAATTTCTACTTGATAGAAAAGTTTAGAGATGGAAAGAAGTTTAGAGGGAGTTAAGATGGTATGTGAGGGAAATTAAGTGTTCACCAGAATCGACACTCTCCGGCTTTCTTCAGCTTTTCCTTACAGTACACTTAGGTGATGAAATCGGCTCCTTTACCTGGAGATGTCTCAGGTGAGATTCCGTTTAACGCACCCTTTCAGCGTCTCAGTAGGATGCTGTTACTCGTCCGAAGTAATGGCGAGGCTCTGTTCGACACACATTCACCTCAGTGGAAAATGTTATAATCCCATGGAACTCGGAAGAGCTTTGTTGTCATGTCAGGAACTCCAACAGCACTCCATCAGAACTCAGCAGAACTTGAGTAGACTCTCACCGAACTCTACGCTCTCAGAACTCTTAGAACTCCGACAACTCTCTGAGTCCGTAACTCTGTAACTCTGTGAGTCTGTGTAGACCAGGAAGTACTGACATTTTAAAGACTCTTTCCCGGTTCACTTTTTGGGATTTTTCATTGGTCAGAAACGACCAGACGGGGTGGGTTTTGTGACGTAAGAGGTTAGAGACAGCGAGAATTGTTATGGGACAGCTCAGAAATGTTCTCACAGACCGAGAGGGTTTTGTTGTGGCGTGTTTAAGAAACAGGTGCAAAACATCTCTATTTACGTCTGAGAGGATTCTAAAACATGACAGTTTTAACATAACAACTTGTTTTTCGTTTGACTGTAACCTTGTAAACGCACACACTTGCTCATTCAAAAGCAGAAATCAGAAAAATGCATAATTACTCTGCAACAGCTTTTAACATGAGAATAAAAATCATTACTCAGTTAATAAAATTGATTAGTTCACTGCAACATCTAAAATGGTTTGAACTAAGACACTTTGATTATCAACATTTGTAAGATAGTAATGATAATAAAAAGAGAGTGTTCTTTTCACTTGAATCTTCAAGAAAGAAAGTCTCAGGATGGGTGAACCTGTATTTATGTATTCAAATACATGAAATGACAGTTCCTGTCCCACAAGGTTCTAAAGGTCAAGAGTTTTGACCTTAGACTTAGTTTCGACGTAGGCCTAGTCCACTACTAGTTCATTTGTTTGTCTTTCTTTTAGCAAAATTCAAGATGGCTGCCAC